TGGTCTGTCTGGTTCCCAGATCTAACCGCACCTGGCACAGGGGATAAACTCTACCAGTATCTGTAAGCCCAAGTCAGGGTTCTAAGCTCTGCAGCCCTTTTCCCATCTAGGAAGGAGTCTAAGGTCTGTATGCTGGCTAGATAAGCTAGGGTCCCATATCCCCCAACCTCACTGTAATTTCCTAAAGGCAAAAATTATAAGATTTCTCTATCCTAGGTTTAGCACCTAGCTATATTTAAAAACAATTTTTTTATTTAACAAACACATTTTATATCACACACTCTTCTGAAAATTTTACAAATAGTAACTCATTTAATCATCATGGCAACCCTATGAGATTGGTACTACCCTTATCCCTGTTTTACTGACGAGAGAACAGGGCTTATGAGCTTATTTAACTTGCCCAAAGTTGCACAGCAGAACATTGGCTCTGGAATGTATAGCCACCCAGGCAGTGCTCCACACACTGGGCCTTGCTATCCTTCCTCACCTTACCAGTGTTTAGCTGAATGATGGAAGAAAGGAAAAATTTGGAATCAAAGTAGGAGAAAATTGGGAAGGGAGCAATATTTACAGAAGAGAAATGCAAATGACTAAAGTTTCCAGATATTCCATGCATAGTTGATGCAGTACAAATATTCCACCACTGTATGAAACACGTGATAAAAACCTAGGTTGATTTGAATACCTAACTTAAAAGGTTTTCGTTCCTTGGCTAAAAATGAATGAATAAATAAAACTATCAAGTTGTCCTAAGTACTCAAAAACAGCCCTACCATCAGCACCATGCTCAGTAGGACAGAATTAAAACTCACAAGTGGTTAAAAGTGTAAAAATAAGTTGTTTTGCTACCCAGTTATCTTATTTGGTAGGATGCTGTAACACAGTCCCATAAGCTGGGTGGCGTAAATGACAGAAATTTATTCTCTCACAGTCCTGGAGGCTAGAAGTCTACCATCAAGGTACTGCAGGGCTGGTCCTTTCTGAGGGCTATTCTAGGCCTTTTTCCTTGGCTTCCAGATGACCTCCCTCTGTCTCTGCCCATTCCCTCCAAGTGTATCTGTCTTCATGTCCAGATTTCCCCCTTTTATAAAGACATCAGTCGTACAGGACTGACGCCCACCCAAATGAGCTCATTTTGATTACCTCTGTGAAGACCCTATCTCAGAATAAGATCATATTCTGAGGTACAAGGGGTTAGAAACCCAATATATCTTCTATGGGGAGGGGGCTGTATTACAATTCAACCCTAATAGCAGGATAATATAAGGGTAAGAGCCTGGGTCTGAATTCTAGCCCGGCCATTTATTTTATTTTTTTTTCAGAGTCAGAGTCTCAGTTTATCACCCTCGGTAGAGTGCTCTAGCATCACAGCTCACAGCAACCTCCAACTCCTGGGCTTAGGCGATTCTCTTGCCTCAGCCTCCCGAGTAGCTGGGACTATAGGCACCTGCCACAATGCCTCGGTATTTTTTGTTGCAGTTAGGCCGGGGCCAGGTTTGAACCCTCTGCCCTTGGTATATGGGGCCGGTGCCCTACCCACTGAGCCACAGGCGCCACCCCCGCCATTTATTTTTATTTCTTTATTTTTTTGAGACAGAGTCTCACTATGTCACCCTCTGTAGAGTACAATGGTATCACAGCTCACAACAACCTCAAAGTCTTGAGCTGAAGCAATTCTCTTGCCTCAGCCTCCCAAGAAGCTGGGACTACAGGTGTCCACCACAACGCCCTGGATATTTTTTGGTTATAGTTGGCTGGGGCTGGATTCGAACCCACCAGCTCCGGTGTATGTGGCTGGTGCCCCAGCTGCTGAGCTACAGACACCGAGCCATAGCTCTGCCATTTATTAACTGTGAGACCTTTCTGAGCCTCATCTCTTTCCCTTAAATGAATACAAAATAAGTAGTATCTTCCTCATACCCTTGTAAGGATTAAATAAGTTAGTTCCTGTAGTACTTAGAATACTGGGTGGTACAATAAATGTTAGATAGTCATTCATTCATTCAATAAACAGTTATTGAATACCCGTTAAGTGCTGAGCACCATTTGAGGTGCTTGAAATACAGAAAAAATACAATAGGCAAAAATATCTACCATCATGGAGCTCATAATCTAGCATGGAAAGAAAAACAATTGAAAAAGTAGAACATAGAGAATGTCAGACAGTAATAAATGCTATCGAGAAAAAGCATGCAAGACAGGATCTGGAGGCCACTGGGAATTGCAATTTTGGATTAGGGGTGCCATTTGAACAAAGATCTGAGTACTATAAGGAGACGGTTAAGGAGTAATGGGGGAAGTTTTGTTTTGTTTTGTTTTTTGAGACAGAGTTGTTGTTGTCCCAGGCTAGAGTGTCTTGGTGTCAAAGCTCACAGAAACCTCAAACTCTCGAGTTCAAGCAACCCTCCTGTCTCAGAGCGCTGGGATTACAGGCTTGAGCCAACACACCTGAGCTGGGGAAAAAGTATTTTAGGTAGAGCAGGGTTTCTGCACCCCAGCACTGTTGACGTTTGGGGCTGGGTAACCTCCGGTCCTGAGGGCTGCCTTGTGCATTGCAGCACGTGTCGCAGCCTCCCTGGTCTCTCCCAATCCCCTCCATGCGTGCCAGTCCGTCTGGCAACTAAAATGTCCCTAGAGGGGACAATGTGTCCCTGGCTGAGAAACACTGAAATAGAAGGAAAATGAAAGCCCAGGGGGAGTGGCTTGAACTAGTCTAGGGGACAGCAAGGAGGCAGGAGGTAATAGATGACATCAGAAAGGGGAGGGGTAAATCACATCACCTATGACCTGGTGGCCATTCTTTTTTTTCCTTTTTTTTTTTTGGTAGAGACAGAGTTTCACTTTTATCACTCTCAGTAGAGTGCCATGGCGTCACACAGCTCACAGCAACCTCCAACTCTTGGGCTTAGGCCATTCTCCTGCCTCAGCCTCCCACTGGTGGCCGTTCTTTAGGCAGATGGAAAGCCACTAGAGAGTTAAGAGGAAAATGATGGCACCCGTTGGCAGATATTTCCAAAGATTTGGTTCTGCGTTGTGGCTCACACCTATAATTCTAGTTGTGAGGCTGAGGTAGGAGGATTTCTTGAAGCCAGAGTTTGAGACCAGCCAGGGCAACATGGAAAGATCTTGTCTCTAAAAATAAAATAGAAAATTTATCTAGGTATAGTGATGTGCCCCTGTAGCCCCAGCTACTCAGGAGGCTGAGGCAGGAGGATCACTGGAGCCCAGGAGCGTTAGGCTGCAGTGAGCTGTGATGATGCCACTGCACTCTAGCCTGGACAACAGAGGCAGATCCTGTTTGAGTGAATGAATCAATGCATGCATGCATGAATGAATAAGTAATAAAAAGATGTTCCTGGCTGCTACGTTTAGAATTGTAAACTGTGGGTGAAAAGACAGCCCTGGACTGCCGAGTTGCTTAATTTTTCACTGATTTGGCTGAATGGTAGTGGCGGCAGCTGAGAAAGACGAACTAAGAACCTCTGAGGAAGAAAAGAGGAGGGAGAATTATCTAAAAGGGAAAAGCCAGGAGTGGGCAAAAGAATCTTTTGCCAAAGCGGAAGGCAGTGCGGTAATAAGAGGGTTGTATAGGCAGAATGTCGGGGGTCAGTCTGCCTGCAGAGCCTTGAATACTCTGTCAAAGAATTAAGAGCTCCAGTAGGTCAGCAAGGCTTAAGCAATGACAAATATTCTGAAACAGTGTGCAGAATAGGAGTAAGAAAGAGTAATTTCTTTCTTTCTTTCTTTCTTTTGAGACAGAGTCTTACCTGGTCACCAGAGTCATTACCTGGTAGAATGTCATGGCAGCTAAACTCACAGCAAACTCATGGGTTCAAGCAATTCTCTTTACTCAGCCTCCCAAGTAGCTGGAACTACAGGCACATGCCACCATGCCTGGCTAGTTTTTCTGTTTTTAGTAGAGACGGGGTCTGGCTTTTGCTCAGACTGATCTCAAACTCCTGAGCTAGGGCAATCCACCCGCCTGGGACTTCCACAGTTCTAGGATTACAGGCGTGAGCCACTGGGCCCAGCCTGAGAAAGAGTAATTTTAAACAGCATCCTGAAATAATATGAGTGAGAGATTAACAATCAGGCTGGGGAACCTGGGACCTCAAACAAACGTGTGGCCTTTCTGGTCCTTGAGTGGATACAACAAATCCTTCCATTAATAGGGGTGCAGCATCGAAGCATGGAGCTTCTCTTGCCTCTTTTGGGGCTCAAAAACGAACGACCTTGAAATTAGAAGGCCTTAGGTTCCCACCGGTGGATGGGAAAGACGTGGGAGAAGCAAAGTGAGGGCCACTCCGGCTGCGCCCTTAGGCTCTGCCTCTTCTTCAGGGAAATTTGTCCGTGGGTTAGGGCAGACTGTTGTCTCCGCTGAGGTGGTTTGGAAGCAATTTCAGGGGATATAAGACCAAGCCAACCCGAGCCCACCATGAAAAGGCTTAGGAAAGGAAGTGATTTTTGGAAAAGGCTAGCGCAGGCCTGTTAGATTTCTTCAGGGGTCTTTGCAAGCAGAGGGCTGTGTGTAGGTGAGGTGACCTCGAACAGAGGGCTGGGTAGGTGAGGTGACCCATGCCGCGTTCTGGCAAAGAGGAAGAGAGCAGACCTGCATGCAAAGACTCCGTCAAGATGGTCTCACGCTGCAATCTTCAGACTAAACACGCCCTAGCAGTTGCAGCCCAGCTGCTTAGGGACACCAAACCAGCGCCACTACACTGCAGGCACAGCCGCAGGGATTCAACTCTACCTTTCTGCCTGCCTTCTGCAATAGTCCACGTCCTCTCCCCCTGCTCCCTCCCTGCCCCCCAACAGATTAAACGTACTAACAGGTCGGGCCACGCCGCAGCTGGTGGAGGGGCAGGCCCCGCTACCGCCCGGGTGTGGCCCCCGCGCGCTGCGCGGGGCGGGGGCGCAGAGGGGACCGCTGCGGCGGGGCGGGGCGAGCAGGGCCTGCGCGGGGAGGGACGCGCAGACGCCACGGTCTCCGCCCGCCACCACAGCCGCCACCACAGCTGCCCCCACCCGGGTCCGCCTGGCTCTGCGTCCACCAGGGACTAGGAGCGGCCCCGGGCGGCGACGCGACGGTCCCCGCCATGACTGCAGCCATGAGGCAGAGGTTCGACCGGTTCCTGCACGAGAAGAACTGCATGACTGACCTCTTGGCCAAGCTCGAGGCCAAAACCGGCGTGAACCGGAGCTTCATCGCGCTCGGTGGGTGGCCAGGTTCCTGGAGACCAGCGCGGGGACAGGGCCCGGGAGAGGCGGAGTCAGCGACAGACAGGGCGAGCAGCCTCCAGGGGACTGAGCTGGACGGGGGACGCCCAGGGGTAGAGACCCCTCCGGGGCGGCCGGGGCGGGGGTCGCGCTGCGGGCGGCGGCGGCGGCTCCGGGCGCGGGGAGCGGGCAGGGCGGACGCTGACGTGTCCGCCCCGCGGCCGGAGCAGGTCGCCGTGGTTGTGCGCTGGTCTGGCTCGTGGAGTCTGGGGCCGTGCGGCGCGCGCGGTGGCGGGAGGGCCGGCGCTGCCTGGACCCGCCTTGGGGCTTCCCGAGAAGGGGTGTCTCCCCGGAACACAGGTGCGGCGCGGGCACCGGGGCCTCTCCGGAGCCGGCCTGGCCCGGCTGATGTGCCGCACCGCGGGGCCCTGCGCGGGGAGACCGGTCGTCCCCGGCTAACCCAGATGGTTCCGGGAGGCCGGGTGGCCCTTCGGGGGAAGTAAGACACAAAGGTGGGGGCTGCCGGGCATTCACGGCACAGCCAACCTTCGTGTGCTTGGCTCTCCGCGCTCCTTTAATCGAGGCGGGAGGAAAACGGCCAGAGCAGGCCAAGCCTCGCAGTGTGGGTGCAGCAGTCCCGCCTGAGCGCCTTTTGGGCAACCCGACCCACTTCTCTCTTCCTGGTCTCCAGGCGTCATCGGACTGGTGGCCTTGTACCTGGTGTTTGGTTATGGAGCCTCCCTCCTCTGCAACCTGATAGGATTTGGCTACCCAGCCTACATCTCGTAAGTTGCCCCCCTGCAACTGCCCCTTTCCCTTCACTCGGCTTTCCCCATCCAGGGCTGCTGTGGCAGACGGTGGGTATATCCCCCCTTGCCCGGAGAGAAGTAACAGCGCCAGATGGTGGCATTAACTGCTTGAGGTTATACATTCTGGAACCTTAACTTGATTCCTCATCTCTTGATGACAGCCGAAAGGTATTTTTCTCATCAGATTATAACTGCCAGTGCCAGCGTGCCCTTTGGATACTGAGATGGGCACGTGTCACAAGTCCCCGTCCTGCCTGGTGGTGGGGAGATCCATGGGAACAGGTGCAGGGGGCTGACTGCTTCTCTCTAGCGATCACAGTAATGGATATCTCACCATATGTTAGTACATAGGCAGTAAAACCCCATCAAATAGGACTTCCTGAATTCAGACACTAAATTATGTTAGAAACTGGGGGGAATTTTGTCTTCTTGATTTTGAAAAAGGAAAATTATTGTAGGGAAGCTTGGGAAATGCCTACCTTAGAATAAAAACAAAAATGAGTCTTATAAAATAGCTCCTTGATTATGTAAGTGACTCATTTATATAATTAAACTAAATTAAAAATTAATCATTAGGATCTGAATTTACTACTAATTGCAGTTGTTTTTATTCTACAGTATGTTTTTTGTTTTTGAGAGACTTACTTGTCACCTTTGGTAAAGTGCTGTGGCATCATAACTCACAGCAACTCTTGAGCTCAAGTGATTCTCTTGCCTCAGTCTCCCAAGTAGCTACAGGGTGTTTATTTTTTTTCTGAATTTTTATTTATTTATTTACTTATTTTGAGACAGAGTCTCACTGTGTCACCTTTGGTGGAGTGCTGTGGCGTTACAGCTCACAGCAACCTCAAACTCTTGGGCTTAAGCAATTCTCTTGCCTCAGCCTCCCAAGTAGCAAATAGCTACTACAGGTGCCTGCCACAATGCCTGGCTGTTTTTTGTTGCAGTTGTCATTGTTGTTTTGCTGCCCCAAACTGGGTTTGAATCTGCCAGCCTCAGTGTATGTGGCTGGCACCGTAACCACTGAGCTATGGGTGCCACCCTACAGCCTATTTATTTGGAAAATATCCTATAATTTCATTTCTCCATTTATTCAGCAAATAGCTGAATATTCTCTCTGCAAGTGAATATTGTTTTACTTCTTTAGCTCTTACCAAGAAAGCCAGTGGGTTTTACACCCTTTATTCTCTGCTTTCTTCAACTGCAAAGCACCCCTCTCCCTGGAAAAAAAGGAAGAAAAAAATTTCAATTAGAAGGCAAAGACGTGTATAACACATTATTGTACTATGAGTTTGCTACTGCTCAGGCTAGAGTTTCAATATATTACAAGAAGGGAAAAAACAAGTTTTAGAAGTTTTGGGCTCGGCGCCTGTGGCTCAAGCGGCTAAGGCGCCAGCCACGTACACCTAAGGTGGCGGGTTCGATTCCCCAGCCCGGACCCGCCGAACAACAATGACGGCTGCAACCAAAAAATGGCCAGGCGTTGTGGCGGGCGTCTGTGGTCCCAGCTACTTGGGAGGCAGAGGCAGGAGACTCGCTTGAGCCCAGGAGTTGGAGGTTGCTGTGAGCGCGATGCCATGGCACTCTACCCAGGGGGATAGCTTGAGGCTCCGTCTCCAAAAAAAAAAAAAAAAAAAAAGAAGTTTTGAACATTTAAGTTGCATTTGTTTAACTGGTTGTAAACCAAACCCCATGTGTTGAGCAGCAGCAGTAATACACGCTTTTTGCACTTGAAGATGGAGAGAGAAGGAAGAGAACGTGGCATCCCGACCTGGGAATAGTCCAGAGGCCTGCCCAGGGCTCTGCTTTGTGGAGGAAGCTCAAGGAAAATCGGGACCCCCCAATTAGTAAACATTCAGGCAGTCAGTGCTACATTGGTCTGATCAAGCCTGTTCGTTGCTTAACCAATGTGATTGTATAATTGTCCAAAAGAAAGCCCTTGAAATGGTGGCCTTTAGTAGCAGCCATACTTGTGTTGCTTTAAGTGTGATGTGTGATCACTGAGTCCACTTGGGCAGCACTAACAAAACACTCTAGACTGGGTAATTTATAAAGAAAAGCAACCTATCACTCCTAGGAAGGAGACCTATCACTTTCTGGAAGCTCGGAAGTCCAAGATCAAGGTGCCAGTAAATCTGGTGTCAGGTTGAAGGCTTGCTCCCTGCTTCAAAGATGACACATTCTTACTGCATCCACAGTGGAAGGGACAAACAAGCTCCCTCAAACCTCTTTTTAAGGGGGCACTGAACCTAAAGGACAGGCATCCCCTAAAGGCCCTACCTTTTAATGATACCATTACATTGGGTGTTGGGTTCCAACAGATGGATTTGGGGAGGACACCAACATTCAAACCATGGAAATTACCTTCACTTTAATTATTCCCCACACTCCTTGTAAGTGTACCTATGCTTTCCAGACAATTTTTAAAAACATAGATTTATTTATTTAGCAAAAATCAAATGCCAGCCATGTGCCAGGCAGTGTGGTAGCACTTTAGATATGGCAAAGAATAGGTGGGTACGTTCTCTATCCTTTTTGAATGACCAATCTTACCAGGGTAAATAGGCAAGAAATAGGTCAAACAGTGACAGAGTGAGCAAGCCCTCTAAGGAAAATAGGCAGCTGTGGCAGACAGTAACAGGAAAGACCCTCTCTAGCTATATATTTGAAGTGCTATTTAAGACGTGAGAATGAGAAGGACCAGCCAAGCAGAGCCAGGCAGGAGTAGCGTGTGCCAGGCCTCAAGGCAGCAGACTGCTGAGCTCTTAAGAGAGAGGTGTGGCCGGGGAGGTGCCAGAGAAGTGTTGCGCCAGTGACCTGAGTGTGTGTTTCATTCCATATGGTTGTAGGGAGTTTGTGTTTATTCCGTTGCCTTGGAAGGTTTTAGATAGGAGATGGCATGATATGTTGTACATTTTTAAGGTCACTTTGGTTGCTGTAACCTCTGGAAAGAATTGGTGATCTTTCTAAACTATTATTTTTTTCTTTTTGAGATAGAGTCTGAAGCTGTTGCCCTGGGTAGAGTGCTATGGTGTCATAGCTCACAGCAACCTCTAACTCTTGGGCTCAAGCCATCCTCTTGCCTCAGTTTTTCTGTTTTTAGTAGGGACAGGGTCTTGCTTTTGCTTAGGCTATTCTCAAACCCCTGAGCTCAAGCAGTCCACCCTTCTAGGCCTCCAGAGTGCTAGGATTACAGGTGTGAGAGACTGCACCCAGCCTTAATCTTTCCAAACTATAGCCGGGAATTTATTTCCTTTCTTTTTCACCTTTCTTTTTTTTTTTTTTTTGAGACAGAGTCTCAAGCTGTCCTCTTGGGTAGAGTGCTATGGCATCACAGCTCACAGCAACCTCCTACTCTGGGCTCAAGCGAGTCTCCTGCCTCAGCCTCCCAAGTAGCTGGGACCACAGGCACCCACCACAATGCCCAGCTATTTTTGGTTGTAGCCGTCATTGTTGTTTTGGCGGCCCGGGCTGGATTCGAACCCTCCACCTTAGGTGTATGTGGCTGGCGCCTTAGCCACTTGAGCCACAGGCGCCGAGCCTCTTTCTCACCTTTCAACGTTTGCTCTTGCTGTGTCCTCTCCTTGGGCCACATAGAAAGGGGCACCATAGTGGGTGGAAATGTGGGTCATAGTGGGCCTGGAAACTGCAGGGTATAGAGTTGAAGATTTACAAAGTTCATCTGGCTTGCTAGCTTTGCTTATGACTCATCCCCTTGGGAAATCCGTGGGTGAAGCTCAAGTGCACCTGGTTCCAGGTCAGGCCTTCCTGCTTGCTGGAGCATGTAGACCCCGAAGGCTTGGCCAGTGCCTGGCAGGGCCAGCCAGGGCCTTATCATGTACCCCTCCCTCCTGGTTATCCTTATTTTCTGTGTGTGTGATTCCCCATTGGGCTTTTGAGAACAGTGGATTTAATTCCTATTCTCTGTGTTTCAGGAGTTTCTGGTCTCCTTTTGTAGGCAATTTGAAATCTCATTCTAGCCTTCTTGTTAGGAAGAACTGTTGACATAAATACTTCAGTCTCTTCCCTTTGTTCTATTGCAGATAAGAGAGAGAGAAAACTACTACTACATAATAGAATCCTCTATTCTGAAGATAGACCTAACCCTACTATCCCTGTCCCATTGCTACAATATAATTTCACTAACCATTCTTTGAAGGTGTACAGTTCAGTGGCTAGTCTGTTTACAAAGTGGTATGACCATCACCACTAATTTCAAAATGTTTGCATCACCCAGGAGGGAAACCATTGCCAGTCACTCACTCCCTATTTCTCCTACCTCAGCTCTTAGAAACCACCAATCTACTTTCTCTCTCTCTAGATTTGCCTATTCTGGATATTTGATATAGATGAAAGCATGCAGTTTGTGGCCTCTTGTGTCTAGTGCACAAAGTGAGACCCCTGGAGTGCATCTGTTGTGCTGGACATCCTGGAGTGGCCTTGAATGTGGGCACCAGTTGAGTCCAAAGCTAGTCGTATCCCTGCTACTTGGTACAAATGGAACTGGGTGGCTTAATAAAATGATTTTATTTTGTTTTTTATTTTCTCCTTGCAGATAGAGGAAGGACCAGGGTTTGCTTTCTGTCCTACCCAGTGCCTTTTTGCTTATAATTCTACAAAAATATATTTTCCCTTTTTTATTTCACTTTTTTTTAAAGAATCAGGCTGTTGCTGCAGCCTGGGACTATTGGTGTGGGTCTGCATAGATCAGACATGTATCCTGGGTCCTTTCATTTTGACATGACAATTCAGGGACAGAGAGAGGTGGAGGCCAGACTTGGTTGGATCCCTCAGATACTAGACCAATGCTTTTCAACCTTTTTTTATCACATGGTACACTTGAACTTATAGTTAAACTTCCACGCACGCTTAAATTATGTTGAAAAATAGAGAGTAAAAAGAAGAATATACTTACTGTGCTCTGAACTACTTTCAAAAATAATTAATGATCTTTAAAAATTTGTGGCATACCAGTT